GGATCCGGTTTTAGAGCCAGGAAGGGCCGCCGGCTGACAGCCGGCACCGCGCGGCACGCTCCCAACACCGTCCTCCGCGCGCGGCAGGGGAAGGCGGAAAGCTGTTTGTTTGGGAAAACGCGGCAAGAGACACCAGGTCTCAGTTTCCGACCCGGCACGCGGCTTCGCCGAAGGTGCCTCGATCCCACCAACACCGCGCTCCCGGCTTCTGCGAGAGGGAGAGGTTCTGGGGACACCGGAAAAATCAACATTAACCACAGAGAGAAGCTTCTGGGGACACAAAAACGTCAAAATTAACCTCAGATCATGGAGAGAGGTTTCTGAGGGCACAAATCCATCAAAATTAGCCGCTAACTCTGTGGAAAGAAGTTTCTGGGGACACAAAACCACCAAAATTAACCACGGACTCTGCGGAAAGAAGTTTCTGGGGACACAAGAACATCAAGATTAACGTCAGACCATGGAGGGAAGTTTCCAGGGACACAAAATCATCAAAATTAATGGCAGATCATGGACAGAAGTTTCTGGGAACACAAATCCATCAAAACTAATGGCAGATCATGGACAGAAGTTTCTGGAAACACAAAACCATCAAAATTAACCGTGGATTCTGTGGAGAGAAGTTTCTGGGGACACAAAACCACCAAAATTAACGTCAGACCATGGACAGAAGCTTCTGGGGACACAAATTCATCAGAATTAGCTGTGGACTAGAGTGGGGAGAAGTTTCTGGGGACACAAATCCATCAAAATTAACTGTAGACCGTGGAGAGAAGCACGGAAGAGGATGAAGGAAAGTTCTCCCTGGTTTCAGGAGGCACATGGAACTAAAACCATCCGAGGTGCCGGGCTGGCCACTCACCCGGCGGTTGTGGTTGTGGTCGAGCGACTTCAGGTGCTTCTGGATGATGCCGTACTGCATCGGGATGAAGAGGTCGCAGGCGGCGCAGTGAGCTGCTTCCACCTTTTTGATGAAATGCTCCATGCCGACATCTGAAAGGGAAGGGAAGAACGGTGTTAACGGGAAAATAAACCAAGATTCCGTGCTGCGTTCCGGATTTTACTCCGGTCCGTGTCCCAGACTCATCCTCCACCGCCCCAGACTCATCCTCCACCGTTTTCTCTCGAATCCAAGCAGTCTTCCTGAGGAGCAGGAGAGGAACTCTCCAGCAACACCAAGCTCCCCCCTCCCCTTTCCATCAGTTTTTCGGGATATACGGAGCTGAGGCAGCAGCGACGACACGGCAGGAGCTCCAACCTTGCGTCAGATCCTGGTCCCTGTAGATCTGCTGAATAACCGCGTTGATGTCCTCGATCGCTTTACGGCGCTCTTCGGTTTTCCGCGTTTTATTAGCGACGTATTCCTGCACGGCAGAATATTCGGTGTTCATTCCCCCTTTTTCGGAGCTTTACAGCATCTCCGAAATAAGTTATAATTAATATTAATAATATTAATTAATAATTCCACTGCGACTCTCAAAGCCGGAGGACAGAAACGTGGCCAGAAGCTCACCTGGAGAAAATCAGCTGTTTGTTGAGGCAACTTGGTTCCTACAAACTTGAAGTGTTCCTTGTGGAATTTGCTCTCCAGGTGACTGTTCATCTCGTCGTCGTAGAAGGTCCGATATTTGCACAACGAGCAGACGAACTGGATCCTGTGGAGAGAGTCGGAAATGCAGGGAAAGTGATACTGGAACCAACCCAGTGTTGGATCTACTCCAGCAGATCCTCGCCACCGGATCTACTCCTCTATTTAAGGGGCAGCAGATAAACTTAGGGAAATCTCCAACCCTTTCAGCACTTCCAGGATGTTTTTTGGAGTTTTTTCCCATTTCTATTTTAGCTTTTAAGCCCGGGCTGGCAGGAGAGCGAAGCAGCTCCTACAAGGAACGGCCAAAGCACCGGGAAGGAAAAGACTGACCCCGGCTGGGAGAACCACGGATCCCGAGGAGGACACAACGTCACCAAGGAAAAATCCAGGAAAAGAGATGTCACCTTTCCACCATGCGATCCCGATGCCTCTTCTTTTGCCTCTCTTGAGTCTTCTTGCCCGCCTGCAGCTTGCGTTTGATTTGGCTGATCTCTTCTTGGATCGTTAACGCACCTGAAGCGGCAAAATGTTGGAATTTCAGGGCATCAACGGATCCAAGAGAACTTCCCTGATCGAGTTCCCTGAATCTGATCCAAGAGAATTTCCCTGAACGAGCTCAGCCAGCGGCCCCACCGACCCGCGCAGCTTTGGCTCTAGAAGCTGCTCCCGCCAGCCAACTCCGGATAAATCATTGGATTATCCAGCAGTGCTGCCCAGCCCAACTTGGCTTTTTTATCCCCAAAAAACTGGGACAGGCTTCATGGCAGGAAGCAGAACCACGGCACAACGTGGTTTCCCAGCCCTTCGTTTTCATCGATTCATTTCCCATTTTAATTCATTTGCTGCTAATTAAATTGGTTTAATGAGGTTTGAAGTATTAAGTACTCGGAAGTTGGATTATTTCTTTTTTTCCAAGTACTGATTTCCCCGGCAAATGCCGGCCACGCAATAAACCTCGCGTGAGGGGGATGGATTTATGCCACTTATCTTTTTGGGATGGAAAAGCTGCCCATCCCGGGATGGAATTCCCACTGCCCGCTGGTGGGACGGGCAGGAAGGACACCCCCTTTCCCCTCAAAGCATCTTCCCAACAGGGTTCTTTCCAGCCCTCCTGCTTCTCTAAGCTCCCTTCGGGTATCGCGATGCTTCTCCGACCGGTCCCGTCTCTCCGAGCCGGGAATCTCCATCCCGAGCACTTATCCAAAGTCACTCTATGGCACAGGGTGGAAATTAAATCTGGTTTCCTAAGCCCCGGGCTAACGGCTTCACCGACCTACCTTGACCAAAGGCTCCAGCTCCTCCCTAGCAGGGTTTTACAGCTTTTCCTTATCCCTGAGCAGACACAAAGGATGGGATTCACCTGACTACATGCAGACGTTCCGGCTGAACTACCTCCCCAGTCCCTCCCCGTCAGCGGAGATCGGCCAGGTCTCATCCTGAGCAACGAGGGAATCATGGCCCTGGGAAAGGTCCCCCCCACCCCACCCTCTTTCTCCTCTCCGGCGCTGCGATCCCGGCAGAGAGGGATCTCGCTCGTAGGACAGCTCCGATGTTTCTGACAGCGCTGGAGCAGCGTCCCCACCGCGGGGACTCGGGAACATGCCAAATCGTCGAGATGGCACAGAGGGTTTGGCTCAGGTCACCGGGACTCGAGGAATCGGAAGGGACGGCAAAGCCATGAGGAAAACGGAGCCGACAGACTCTGAGAACCAAGAGTCTGAACAAACCCATCGGATTTCATGGGAAATATCTCCTCTGGCTGCGTCGGAGCCCTCGCCTGGATGGGAGTTATGCTCCTCACGGAGCTTCGGTGGGCAAACGAGCTGGCACGGACACCGACTCACCTTTCTCCGAATCTCTTCCTTCGTCGTCATCCCCCTCCTAAAAAACACAACATCGGGAAGTTAAAACCATCCAGAGGAAACCAACGCCCAGAGGCTGGCGGCACATCTTCCCCAGCACCCTTCCTCTCAAAACTCCCCCCCAGGAATTCAGAGCACGGCACGGAGGAGCGACATCTCCGGTGGATCCGGCCGTTCCGCGCTCCCTGGGAGCGGGAGAACCCGGCGCGGCACCCGCTCGCTCAGCAGGAGACGTTTCCACAACACCCGAAGGTCTCACATCCGGGGGATCTCCCTCCCGGTGCCCTCGGTCCCCGCCTAGCGTGCAGTGCCGTGATCCCACGCTTTGGGATTCTCCAGTGGCAGCCGATGGATTTTGGGGTTTCCGTTACTTAAAGCTATTTGTTCCCGGGCGTTTTGACACCGTAAAGCGTCTCGCGGCGACATCGCGGCTGGGAAACCCCCGTAACGTCCGCGCTTCCCTCAACGGAGCGTTTTCCTCCCGTTCTCTGCCCTCAACTTCTCCGCCCCTCTGCCACCGGAATGCCTTTGGGAATAACACCGGGATCCGCCCTCACCAGCTCCTGCACCTCCAACCACAACTCTGGCTTTTAATCACGATAAAGTGGTTTTTGACAGTGACTTACGCCTCTGGAACCCTCTTTCTCCTCTTTTTCTCCCGATTCTCCTTCCGTTCCCTCCTCTGGAAGAAACAGCACAGTCAGCATCAACGGGAATAACCTGCATCGGCAGCGCCGGCTTCGCCACGCGCCGGCTCTGCCGGAAACAAAGCCAGCGGCAGCTCTGCACCACTCGGAAGCGCTCCGCTCTCACCATTGTCGGAGTCGGAGTTATCGGAGCCGTCCGTCTTCGCTGCTTTGCTGTCGGGTTCGTCGGAGCTGTTCGTCTGCTTCCGCTTCCTGGCGGCCGGATCTTTCTTGAATTTCTTTTTCTGGGGCTGCGAGAGAAGAGGAGGTTAATCCCCTCGGAGCCAGGACTCCCCCATTTTCCACTAGTTAAGCTCCCTGCGTTACACTTCCGACAGGCAGAGCTGATCAGGAAGGACGTAATCCACCACGCCTCTACCCCGTAAAATAGAGGATCGAGCCGCGAAGGACGTTCTGCCTTCGGAAAACAAAGTTTTTCGGATTAAAACATCCCGCGTGTCAATATTGCTCCGCCCAGCGCAGCCTCCTCTGTCAGCGCAGGAGGAAACAAGCTGCAAAGCAATAAATTATAGATGTTTTATATCATCGCGTCCCAAAGTTGGGTTTGGAGCCCTTCCCGGCCAGACGCAGCGGGAAATCGATCCCTATCCGAGCCGAGCGGGTGGGAGGATATCGCACAAGTACTTGACACGGACAGTGGGATCAGTGCACCCTCAGCAGGTTTGCTGATGACACCAAGCTGTGTGGTGGACACGCTGGGGGGGAGGGATCCAC